TATATTTATTCACCTAATTCAAATTAAAACCGAAATATCAAATGGAAATTTAAGTCAGAAGAAATGTTTTCTTGAGAAATAAAAAACAGGTAGGAAAGGTGAAGAACTGTTAGTTCCAAAGCCCAAGGAATTACCATGAGCTAGTTCAGTTAGTCCTGTTTCCAGGATTACTCTGTTCATATTTTGATTTCTAGACGTGTTATCAAGCCTGCACCACAGAGGTCAATTTATATTCTCAGTTATAATGAGGCTGCAGATTTTCCCTCTAGGCAAAGGGGCTTTTTTTATTATCAGGTGTATTTGATAATCATATTTGTAATAAATGTTAGAATTTAGGAGCTGGGATCTTTGAGAGGGTACTTTTAGTCTTTGCAGCCTTTTCCACATGCATAGCCGTAAATGTCCTACTCCATTTGGATGTAGCCATTTAATACTTTCCTTCGGAAACCTCTTTCTCAAGGAAGGTGTGATTTTATTCTTCTACTGCTTGAAAGACCATCAAATGCTGTATCCACAGGCTGAAATTATTCAGAAAATAAGGTGTGTTCAGTTCTGTGTGAAGGTCACAAGTAATAAAGCCTCCAAGGCACTATCTTCCGGTGAATCTTTGCTGCCAGAAAGGCAACATACATTACCTTTTATACATCTCCCTTGGAAACAATTGATGTTCATTCCTTCTGAGGTTTTAGAATCTCTGGCAGAGAGAAATAAGCTGTTGGGAGTGTTCTAGAGCTGCTGGCCCTCTGTTCTCTCCCTGACACACTGGGAAGCAGATTATGGTCTTGTGCCTCTGTTAGATTTTACAATTCTGTGTTCTGTGCATTACATCTCTGACTGGGCTTTAACTGCCTTGCTAAAACAGTGGGTGCTGCTGCAGTGGGCTTCAGGGTGGAGCCTTGCATATTGGATGATGCTCATGCACTGATGTAATTCTCACATAAATGGTGTACTTGCTACTGTCATTTTTCACAAGATGAAAAAAGTCATTACAAGCCACAGAAAGAAAATGGCACATGGTTACTGCCTTACAAATTTCTGCCACCTGCCAGCAGTGGTCAGATGAGCACATTTTTTGTCCTCTGTGATTGGCACTAGTATGAGACATGCGTGCATACCCATAGCTTAAGAAAACAGCTGGCTAAGGAAGGGTTCTGGAAAGATTACTGCTGTGCTAAACAGCTTTTCAGTCATGGTTTGTGGAATAGCTAGTTGGAAATAATAAAGGGTTCCCCTTGCAATGGCTGTTTGATCTAACCTTGAGTACACACCTGACATTCACAACTCAGTTATTCCTGTTGGCTTTCCACATCAAGGCAATGCGCTTCTATTTTCACGCACTGATGGCAGCAGAGCAGCGCATTTCCAAACCCTATCTTAACATCAAGAGGAGAGCCCACCCCTTGTCCATTACCTGCATCAATTCTTGCTGATGCATTTCGCGGGGCTGGGAGAGTGGAGGGGTTTGAGGGGGGGTTGTTTGCAGAAAAAAAACAGCTTGAGAACCTTCCCAGTTAGCCTGTCTGACGGGATGCTGCAGAGCATTTCTCTGTGTTTGACTGCAAATGCACAAACTTCAAAGTAGATGAGAAAACACTTACTGGTATCATTAAGCACACATTTACGTGAGTATTTAAGAACCTTCACAGCCTTGTGAAAACCAATATATTTGCAGAATGTTTCCTCACTGACAGCAGAACTCAGCAGTTTCATTTGCTGTATCTCTCCAAAAGCAGCCTCAGCAAGATCAGCAAGGTTGTTTGGAAGCTCAGACTCACAGCATAATGCAAAACTGAATGCATTAATAGAACAAAAGGTGTGAAACATGACCTTGCCATTAGACAGAATTCAGGATATTTGAACAACAGATATGGCAATTAATCCAATGGGAGAGGAGTTCCTAATAATGGCAAGTCCATATTAAATCCAGAAAGCTTGTTTGAATAATAGGTATGCAAAAATGTGTGTAGTATCTGCCTTGCATTTGCCACAAAAACCAGTGGGACCACGGACAAACCCACCTGCCTGTCTCTAATGAGCAGAAGCAGGTTTGGAGTTGGAAGAGGGAGGATGTGTACAACACGAGATGTCTCCCCAGCCATTTGGTGAAGATGAATAATGTCATTTCTTCTCTGGTCTGTAGGGGTTGTACAGATAGTCCTGCACCAGTGCAGTTTCTTTCCTCTTTAAGAATGTATTCAGTATTTATGTTGTTTGTATGGGATTTTCTGGACCAGACACCGCACTGACAGAATTTTCACATTATGTAAGTGGCCCAGTTTTTCAAGAAAAAGGAAATCCTTTTCCATCTCCCTTTATTTTCACCCCTAATTTCAGAGAATCCAGAGAATGCATTTCAGCATTTCTGAAAACCATAATAATACCCAGCCTTACACTCATTACATCAGTTACCACCTGGCATTCGGCTAATTCATAATGCAGGAATTTGCTGGATAGGAAACCATCGTATTTCCTATGCAAGGTAGGTGTGCTGTGGTGTGCACACAGAAGACAGAAATCAGATCATGTGGCATGAACTAAAAGAACACCTTGGCACTCAGCTATCCGCTTACATCTCAGACAGCAGTTCTGGTGCAAAGAGTTTGTCATGTTTTGTAGAGAACAGCAAGATACAGACAATCAGGAGGAAGGGTGAAGAGAGAAAGTGAGAGTCCTCTACTTTAGCTACTGGGACTCCCATGCAAACAGGTCTATCCCAAGTCAGAGGGACCACTAAATGTGTTCTACTTCTGCCTGTTGTACACACAGGGTAGCAGAAACAACCCAGAAGTATTTAAAATGAATCATTTGGTACTTGAGAGCAAAATCCCCCCCCCCTCCCCCGGTAACGATCAAGTGGGTTTCTGTGCCCAGCAGCAGCCCATCTGTAAAGACGGTGTGCCACGAACAACATGTACAGCCTGTTAGCAAGGATGCGGTGATTGGATTCTTTCAAAACAGATATGCCAGCTCATGAGACTGTAACTATCATTAGGAAAAGCAGTAGATCACTCACTGGATAGCTGAATAATTTGATGCAAGAGCTGACAAGAGGCCAGGGTTTCTTTCCACTCCAAAATATTTTGTAGTAATGCATCTAAACTGTTTAGAGTTGTGGCTTGGCAGCACCACATTGGACTTCTAAGACATCAGCATTGCCGAGACAACTTTCTTTCCAGCCTGTAAATGCAATCTACTCAGCTGTCCTAAGGACCTCTGGCCTTTCCAAGAACAATCAAAGTTAGAGCTTTGGTAATCTCACTGTGGAAACAGCATCCCCAGGCAGGGGCAGAGCCCGGTGGAATGAGGTCAGGGAAATCTGATTACTCTAGAAAATACAAGAGCACAGAACATCAGTGTTTCTGTCTTGGACTGTCATTACAGATACGAACTGCAGCACGCAGTGGTGAACTCTCTGGCTGCTCCTCACTTGTCTTTGCAAGTCAGGACATTTCTGCATTATTTGCTGTCATTAGCTGTAAGAGTCTTGTGGAAAACCAGTGTAGTACATAGCTACAAGAAACTCTCAAGAGACTGCTGTCACACACACAAGTGCTTTGGAGAATGGGACTGGTTAACCCCTACTGGGTGCTCCTTACATGTAACTCTCATGCTTCAGTGCCTGCCTTGTCCAAACTGAATCCCTTAACGCCCTGCAGTTTCAGAATGTGATGCTTTATTTTATTTATCCTAACAAAGGAAGTGCTAACCATATGCAGACCTATACTGACTTTGACAAGAAGTAGTTAAATTCCAACTCACTACCTGAGAGTTATGTTTGGTTTAGTAACAGCATGCTGTGAAGCACTGGGATAGCCAGAATGAGCACTTCTGATAAAATAAATATGCTGTCTTCTGTAGGTTGGTTTTTTTTTTTCTTCTTTCATTTATACTTTTCAGCAAAAGGATCAATAGTATCCCAAAGACATTAAAATAAAGCTGAATCCACAGAACAGAGCTCAAATTATCTGCTAGATAGGCAGTCTTTCTCCTTTCCTTAAAACAATAAGTTCCAAATTACTTCTCTCTGAACAACTTTCTCCAGTGTTCCATTTCATCTATGTGAAGTTTTCTTCACTGTCCTTCTGGATCCTCTTTAGAACCTTAGATCTCACTCACCCTGCCTCAGAACAGTTTAATAGTAACAGCCATAGTGCCCACTTTCACATCATGAACCACAGCACAAACAGAAGAGCAAAAGATGAAGAAACATGAAGAGGAAAGGTTACTTCCAGGGATCATACAATAGCTCAAATCTGGGTTTCCTGCATGTCAGTGCAAAGCTGTATTTAAAGGACAGAACGACCATCTCAGCTCTTTTGCATTTCGTCTTTGTCCCTTTCAGTCTACATTTAAATCCAGGCCAAACTCTCCCTCTTTTCCACCCCGCAAATTACAATGAGTGTCAGGCAAACTTCCTCAGCTGTGATAGCCAACGTGTTCTTTGCCCACTTTGAGGTGATTCTGTTGAACCCTGGCAGCAATTGATGACTGAGGGCCTGACCAGGCTTGATTAGAAACTGCCAGCTGATTGGCAAGTAACCGATGCATCCTGTTACTCATACAGGCATCCCAAGCATTGGCAGACATAATAAGGGAGCCCAGCATATGGCAGATACAGGCACTGATCCAGTCCCATGTGTATGCTCAGTGCCTTGGGTGGAGAAAAGAAGAAGCTGTTGCCTTCATCCCCTCCCCTTTTTCGTCTTTAGCTCTTTTACCGAGAAGGATTTCCTTTACCCAGGACCAGCATTCCAATGAGCAATCTGCGCCAGTTCCACTAAACATCCCAGTTTCTTTTTGACCCTTAAACCAAATACGCTTTAATTGGTTTTCATTTCCATTTCTTGAGATACATTTATGCTAAACCCGTCAACATCAGCAACGTTACTAACATGACACATGAAGACAGTTTTCCCCAAACTCATTCCAATCAAAAGGATATACAGAGAGAAAGGAGTACATTGTATTTTCAGAACAGTAGTAACCATGGCCCCAGAAGATCATTACTGAAATAGCTTAGTTTTAGACCTGGCTATACCTCTGCCTGTAGATACACCCCTTCCTACTCCTGCCATACAAATGATGCAAAATGAAGGGCTAATATGAAAAGCATCTATGAGTACCTTTTAAACAGCTGACCTATATTTTGGGGAAACATTAATGTAGTATTTGAGTGTAGCAGTGTGGGAGAGAAAAAGCTAATTACATACTGTTGTATAACTGCTCTTTACCCTAAGATTAACGTAATTTATAATAGTGAATGAGTCTGGTGGAATCAGTGTAATGAAAGAAGTGGTAGTTTTTTCTGCACTGGTATCCCAAATGTGTGGATTAAAATAAGGAAGAGCTTTGCAAGGTTAGTGGTCACTAATGGTGATTGCTAAGTACTTCTTTCCAGGTAATACTCTTAATTGAAGAAAATGTTTCATTAGGCAGAAATAAGCATCTATAATTTTAAAAGTAAATTGAAGAGGGTATTGCAAGATGTTTCTGTTAAAGGCATAGCAAGAAACTAACATGTTTTGAGAGAAAATCTCTCCCCAGAATCTTAACTTCTCATTTCCCTCTCTCAGTTTTCTGTTCTTTCTTGTTTAGCCTGTGCAGTTGTTGAACTTCTCCTGTCATTGAGAACCCTTCATACAGAGGGAAGATGACATTTGAAAACTATGGAATGAGCAGTATGTAACAGGATGCTGCTAGAGTTCTTCACAATTTTCATTTTTTGATATGTTTCAAGATCTATTTTAATAGTTTTTAGTATTTTTTCACTAATAGCGATGCTGTCTTACTCTGGAGGATATACTCCAGCTATCAACTTTCTGCTTCTTGGAAAGAAACCAGAATGCTTTCAGTTCTCAAATTTGAAACCATTGTGATACTGTCTAATATTACTGCAATCTGGAGATTTCTGTGACCAATTGCTTACATGAATGCCATTCTGTACTCTCTTATTTCTTTGGTGTTCCCAATTTATCTCTCAAAGCTGCTATGACTTTACGTTTGGCTTTTATGTAGAAGCAGAGCAGGTCGTGTGGTTATCCAGAGGCATTAGTATGGTAATTTTCTTCAAGTTGAGTAGGTGGAAATAATTAATGGACTGCTTTATTGATGTACATAGATAGCTGATTCTCTCTGTGGTTTCAATTCCCAGCTTCAATAAAGTAGCTTGAGATTTTATCTGAGGGACCAGTAATTACACAGGGCAAGAATAATTGCTGCACAAATACAATCTGATTGTGTTTTGTGCTATCACCAGGGCTGATGCTAAAGCTTAAATATATAAACAAGGATCTGCTGCATAAACAAGCTTACATGAACTTTAGAGTAACTTGAATTCAGAGAATCTGTGCTCTGGGAAGTTGAGCAAACTTCAAAGAGGAAGTCACAGTCTCAGTGCAGAACAACATAAATAACTTTACTGTCTTGACTAGACTCCATCTGCTATTATTGACACTGACCAGTAGCAGATACCTTGGGAAAAATAAGCACCTATAAAAATAAGCACCATAAAAACTGGATTCTAGCTACAAACTCTTCATGGCTTTGCTAAGACCAAGATGGAGAAACAGAGCATGGGACAGAACTCTGAGACATTTTTATGTAAATAAGCCCTCAACAGCCAGACAAGTTATGAGGAGATACCGCTTAACCATCCACAACCCTTTCGTGACCTGGACCTCTTGAGTCTAGCACCATTTTATTTCTTAGGTAAAGTCATTAAGATGTACACAGCATGCACCTCTGATCCCATGCTGGGAAAACTACTGCCTCCTCTCCCAGCATGGAGGCAGACTTGTCCATCAGCACATGCTACAGACAGTACCATTATGCTTAAATGCAGGTTTGCTGTACCCACAGGAGGGCATCCTTAAGGGACAGCGTTCACTCACTGCTTTTCTCTGGAGAGGGGAAGCTTGTGTTTATTTTGGCAAATCCTTGGTACTCATCACTAGGAGAACAGCATTCAATCTTTGCTTTATCTTCTAGCTGCTATTATTTCACTGTTGTTATGCATAGGTTTGGCAAAAGCCATCAGAATCCCTCATTCTATTGTGTCATGCTGATACTAGAGCATCTTCATACATCTCAATATAAATTGTTTCCAGTAAATTGAAAAAAAAAAAAAAGAGCAGCTGCAATAAGATAGAGGCTGAATAAGGACATCAGAGATTTTTGTATAGGTATAAAATATAAGCAGTCCCCCTCATCGTATCACACAAAGTTTCTTGTCTGCCATGTGCCAACAAATAGAGGAAATAAAGTTTGGATTTATCCAATTTTCTTTCTGTTATGAGACGGTGGAAGGCACGACAGTGATCAGCCAAAAACTTATCACCTAATTTCTATGTAACATGTTTGCAACAAATCAGCTCTCAAGCAATGTAAATTTACAGGGATTTATTGACGAAGGCAGAAATGACATGATCAGTATAGAGAAACTTCTGGTAGTATAACCATATCTAGAGAACCTTGTTAAATGAGATTGTAAGGTAGTATGTGAGCTGCATGCCAACTAGTTCCTGCACAGCTCAGGAGCAAGGCTTCTGCCTAAAATGCTTCAGAAATACACACACACAAAGATGCAGTGTATTCCCATTTATACATAACTAGATTTTAATGGAAACCCAACACAATCGTGGGGAGTGAGACACTGTTTCATTAATGACTTGACCCTTAGTGGACTCATGTCTGTTAGCTAAGCTGGAATCATAATACGTGTTTTAATATGTTTTCCTATGTTCAGTGCACTCATCTGTTTAGACTAAACAGTTAACTAAGGCCATGTGTTTAATTTAAGCCTTGCTTTCCTACATGAAGCCTTCTTGGATTTTTCCATTATGATTCTGAATACTTTTCTATTACTTTGAGCATCTAAGCAGCAGCACTAATTACATTAATTAAACGTAATCAGATATTAATATTGCATAATATCCCCATCCACTGGTTAACTTAGGTGTGCAGTCAGAGGTCAGTCAGCCTTAATTAACCTGCAGCTGAAGAAGCATAAGCAAAGTCACTCCAATCACCGGGATAAGTTTTCCATTGCTACACTTCCTCTTTGTTTAGCCAGACATAACAGACCTAGCAACAAGCACACACTGGAGACATTCTTAGCATGAGCTCCCTAGGCATGTAAGAAATCAAGGATTTCAACACAGACTTACATGTCCAGGTGACAAGTGTAACCTTTGCAGCGCAGCATCGCAGTATTGGAGCTCCACCTTCTTGACTTCCTGGTGCTCAGCTGGTGTGACAGGCAGTGTACAGAGTGCAGGGGCTCCCTGTCAAAAACAGAAATACCATTGTAAAACATGCCGACAAGAAGGAAACAGGGCAGGAAGGCCAGGAGGCCTCCATGGATGGATAAGGGGCTGCTGAGAAAACTCAGAAGGAAAAAGAAAGCTTATAGAAGGTGGAAGTGAAGACAGATGGCTTGTGGAGAATACAGGGGTGTTTGTTGTTCATGAAGTTAGTGATGAGGTATAGGAAAGATAAGGCCCAGTTAGAACTGGGTCTGGCCAGGGATGTCAAATATTACAGGAAGGGCTTCTATAGCTTTACTGCACAAGGGGTAATGGGTTTAAACTTAAGCAGGTTAGATATAAGGAAATATTTCTTTACTGTGTGGGTGGTGAGACACTGGGTGTTCCAAAGAAGTGGCAAATGCTCCATCCCTGGCAGTGCTCAAGGCCAGGCTGGATAGGGCTTGGAGCAACCTGGACTACTGTGACATGTCCCTGCCCATGGCAGGGAGGTGGAACTGAATGATCTTAATGATCTTAAGGTCCTTTCCAACCCAAACCAGTCTGAGATTCTGTGATCTTCTCACAGCAGCTATTTTCCAGTAAAGCTTTTCCGGGACAACCCAGTTGCATCACAAACTCTTTAACTCGTATGAACTTAAACATAAGGGACTAACCTGTTTAACTTGCCATTTTATTGCACTTACCCGATCGAGTTGGTTTATTTTTAAACAGCTTGCTAAAGAATTGTTTTACCAATATCAAGAGTACTTCTGCCCAGATCTTCTTTAATAATACTGGAAACCATTCAAGACACAGATTTCCCTTTTAATGTTTTCCCTCTTGAACCCACAACTCTACAGTTTCATCATTCATTTATTTTTATCATTAATTTATCTTTTTTTAATAAAAACACAGGGGGATTTATCCAGGGAAACCAGGCTGCCTCAATTAACCTACACTTTTATTTTAGGCTTCTGCATAAACAGGGATTTTCTCTGACAGAAACTGAAGATCCTGTGGTATTTCTCTGAAGAAAAAGCACAAATAATTAAGCATGCTCTGCTTTATTTTTAATTGCACTAACGTTTCTTTATTCCCATTTCAAAGCATTAGCACTATTATTTAGCACACTCTGGGAACTTCTGTAGTCTGCAAGTCCCCAGTGGAAGTGGGAATTCATTGGGAGGGTAAACAGAAGCCAAATATATTTTTAAGACCATACTGCCTGTTCATTTTCCTTATCACACAAGGCTTTGCTTGATTTAAAGGCCTCCCATCTGACCCTCTGTGGGGTGGATGCAACCAGGGTTTATTATACCCATGAAAGACTACTGACATGATTTGATGTGGGCATCTGCCATTTTAGCCTTTTGGGGTGCTATAGCAAATAGCTATATGGGGTGCAAAGCTGCTCTTTGCTTTCCCAGAGTCATAGAACATTACACTGTGATCCCTCACAGATTTCCTGCAGCACATGCAAAGAGTAGTCACCCTTCTGGGACTTTGCATGTGAGCTGATTTGCTTGTCCATGTCAGGTGTTAGAAAAAGGTATTTCACTGGTCAATTTAAAGTATTAATAACACATGTTTACTTCCAAATTGTATGCAAGGAAACTAAGTTTGCTAGCTGTAACATGTCAGTTGTGGCTGTATCACTTGGATCCCTGCAGGGCTGTTTATGTTCACCTGCAAGCGTAGCACCTGTAGATGCAGACAAGCCAGCACAGGGAAAGAAGCAGCTTCAGCCAAAAACTGAGTTTTCAGATACTTAGGAGTAAAAATAATATCTGTGGACAACAGCTTATGAATTTCAGGCAGATACTCAACAACTGCAGAACACTTCCGTAGCTTCTGTGTAGACACTCATGCTGAAGTTTTGCCATGCAAGCAGTAGCCTAAAAATAGCCTTAACATTTATTTGCTTTTGTAGAAATCTTACATGAAGCTATGCATTAACCCAACCAAAGTTTTATACCTGAGTACACTCAAACTTTGAGGGCAGAAAGAACTGAATTGTCCTGTAAAACACAATAGGAGAACACTCACCAAGATGAGCCACTTCCACCTGTCTCTCCTCCAGGGAGCATCTTCCCATTGGGTTAAGTCTACTACAGCCCAAAAGTTCAAATGCAGCCAAAACTCTCTGTAGCTCCCATTAGAATAGCAAAAACTACAAACAGAACCAAGCAGTCACACTGCAGAACCCAGCACACAACCAGCAACTGCAACCAAAAAGCTTTTAATGAGCAGCTGATGGGTTGTTTTCAGCTCTGCCCTCTGGGAAAAACACCTGAGCCCCTGCCCAGGTGTCAGGCACAACCCATTCCCCAGCCTAGGTCTACAGGCTTTGTCACATAGTTTGTAAATTAGAAGAATGGTTTGAGGATAAAGATGATGAAAACTTCTAGCAGCATGTAAAAAGAATAAAGCGAAGAAAGGCATCAGCATTTGCATCACTGAAATTTCCACCTGCCACATAAAACTGCAGAATAATCCTGATAAAGTCAAAGTTACCTTATACATTTCAGACAGGGACAGTGTAGAGACCCGAATATAAATGTGTCCTTTGTGTACCTTGTTACTTGCTCTTTACTCATTTAGTAAGAAATTTTTTCAGCACCCAAAGAGAAGTTCAGGTTGTACTTGTCTATAAATTGCAGATCTGATGCAATATAACTTTCAGCCTGCAGGTACCTGATAAGAAGTAGTATAGTGTTGCATCACATTTTTTTTCCAGTTAGGGGTACAGAAAGTAACTCACTTCCATGTTCCAAGCACGTGTAGGGAAGGAACTATCCTTTACCACCAGAGTATGGCTTTTCCAACAACATTTTTTTAGATCAAAACTTAGACTAAAGAAAGGTTTAGGTGAATGGAAGAGAAATCAGTAGAACCTGTCTAGAGAGAGCAGGCCTGTTCTCTGGAACCACGACATGTGAGTTTCCCTTATAATAATACTGAGGGTTTTAGTGATTTCTTGTAAATATGAAGACTTTCAAAATGTAGAGTAGAATAGGATGGTTTCAGTCCATGGACACACTGAATGTGTGCAAAATTAGCAAAAGGACTAATGCTATTGCTCAGTAAATATTCTGTAATACTAACAGGAAAGGAGCTACTTATGGTTGGATGTGGGATTACATCTAGATACCTTCAAAAGAAAAAAACCACAATCAACCTTCTATTTGGATACAAAACCATATGAAACAATATGCTTTGGTCTTTGTGCATGAAGTTTTACATTTCAAATATTAGGTGATTTTGCCTGTTTTCAGTTTCAGTGTGTGTGAGCAGACAATATGACAAGTTTAATCATCTAGCCATCTGCCCTGCATGTATTTCTCTCATCTTTCCAGACTTTTCTTAAACTTGCACTTCTTTATATTTTGCAGTTCCCTCCTTTTGGGGTTTGGTGAACTCAGCTTGGAATCTTTGCTCTGTTGGGAAAAGACAGTCACCTGTCAATATTGAAACCAGCCATATGATTTTTGATCCCTTCCTAACTCCACTTCGCATAAACACAGGGGGAAGAAAGGTATGTGTTCTATCCTGCTCTGGTATAAAACCAAGAAGTTACTAGACTTACAAACATTTGCTCTATTTTATGTTTCTAAAGCATGTACACTTTTGTCTCAGTCAGCTGCAAGGCAGAATAACAATGTAGTGTTTTACAAATCACACGATTTCATTACTGATGGAGAAATAGCAGCTGCACATTTCTGGTTGTCTTCTAGAATGTATTCATATTTTCATAGTAACCATTACTTGAAACTCTGCTGTCAGAAATAATAGCATCTCACTTAGAAACTCAATATTTATAATTAAAATTAATGTTCATCCTGAGTAGCATTTTAAAGGGGTTATTCTAAAGTCATAAAAATACCAGGTTGGAAGGGACCAGGTTATTTAAAATGGCCGAGACCTTCTTTTGGACATCCAAATTAGGATCGCGTTGCAGTGCCATAACATAAAGGGGTAGGAAGGCATGAGCATCTTTATGTTATGAAAAACTCATCTAAAATCAGCATGGTAATTCTTGTTGAAAAGTGGCCACCACTCCTGACTGGTTTATTAACCACTGTTTCTGACCAATAATATTTTTTAAATCATGTATCTAGAAACCTTGTTACCCAGATTTGGAAAGTACATCTCAATGAACTGAGGTATGAAAACAGAGTCAGGCTGGGTTAGGTAATGTGTCTACTTGTGGTTTGGGAACCTCAACTTCTAGGCTAGGACGGTCCTCAAGTAATGAAGTTATCAATTCTGTTTGTTCAACTGAAGGGTTGATACTTTTCAATTGTAAAGTTATTTTGTGTAATAAAAACCATCTTGAAGCTGTTGGCACTCTTGGAAATAGTCCTTGGATCATTGTGGTTTTGTTTCCCTTATGTGCGGGTTGCTTAAAAGGGGTTTTTAAATATTATGTTGCTTATTCCATGCAGGCGGTTCTCTTTTGTTAAACCTGTAATACACAACAGTGCAGATGAAAAGGCACTGTGGCTTACAACACTGGAAAAATCAAGAGTCTAACAAAAGGTTATTCCAAAATGATTTCTCTTCTCCTGTTGTCTTGACAAATGAGATTGCTGCTGGAAACAGTGTGAGATGTTAGAACTTCGATCCATACTTCCCATTGAGTTTCTGGTGGTACATGTGCACATTACTATCGATGTAAGCTTCATCATGGAAATGATGAAATGGTGGCGTTACTGAAGGACTATAATGCTTTCAATGATGGCCCAAATTTCAGGGTAATATATATATTTTTGTTTTTAAACAGATATGCATTGAGGTTTTTCATCTTGATACAAAAAAAAGAGTTTTATTGACTCTGCAATTTATATAATGGTTGAAATATTTCACATTATTTATGAATTACAGTATGACACAATATGACATAATGTGACAATCAAGGACAAAAGTAAATGGAAGTTGTCAGTGAGTAAAAGACAGGTGTTTTAGAATATTTAATGTCTTTAGCAGTCCTAAGGATTCAGCTGTTTCTTGTACCAGCTGAGGGTGAAGCAAATGTC